GATGCATATCTGCATCCAGTATTCACCCGAGAACACAGCAAGCTTTTGAAAATGATTAAACGCCAAATTTTGAACGATCACAGTATGGTTGTTAAACAACGCAGATATGAACTCAAGGATTCAGCAAATCGATAGGTAAGGCTGTTTTGTATATATTTGAACTGCAAACTCAGTACAAACCGCGTCAGAGAGATTCACTGACTGTAATTAAGATTTTTGTCAGCTTCTTCAATTGTAGTTTACCGACGAGGACCATTTCGTTACTCTTTTGTCTCTCGTTAAGTTCATTATATTTTGGTATACGTAGACCTTAAAGATGTAAAATTTCGAAACAATTCTTTTGAAGCACCAAATTCGACACCGCGCTTTTGAAGCAGGGTTGAGAATGCGGAGGAATGGGTCGAGAAGCGCGTAGCTTCAGGGTTTGGTTTTCGGGTTTTCTCGTTGTTGTTTGGCCATAAACCACAATTACGCGTACAAACCCCAAAATCAAAAGCAAGGTATGCCATGAAACCTGCCAAGCCTCAAGTGCAATCGAAAACTCTGATATCAATTTCTCACACATCGGGAATAAACTTGAGCTACTACCGCGCCAGTTGCTAGAACACAGAAAGAAACCTTCCCGCTTCTCTATATGGCTTTGCGGGTTGTGCACTCAGGCCATAAATCAAAGGAGAAATCTCTTGATCCTTAACCTACAAAACGGACTTCGAACTGGGTTGTTAAGAGGTATTAATTCATTTGCCGCTCGAATGCACTGTAGGTTCGCTAATTAACAGCTTCTCAGACAAACTTAATTTTTATTATTCCATACTTTCTGAATAAATCTTATTAATCCTATCATACACACGTGGCATACGATAGCCTTGTCTGGTGTAGTTTGCCGAAAGAAGTGTGAATACTTTCTGCTCGATCAACTAGCTTTCCCAAAGGTGACATTATTGCAATCTTGACTCCATAACACGTGAATTTCGAGCGTTCTTTGCGTGAAAATTTCGTTTAGAGAGAGATTCAAAAAATTGAAAAAAAATGTAAACAAAAGAAAAAAAGGAAATTAAATAAGCCTCTTAATAATTAGTGACCTAGTAATTAAGTGCCATCCGCTGTGGAAGAATTTTTTTTTCGAAATCTCTTGTGAAAACGAAACGCGCAAAATATCAATTTCTCTCAGAGCTGCATTGGGACTGTTCATTATCTGCATGTCTGGTACCTGGGTGTGTCTTTGTATGTGTGTTAAGGGGGGGTGGGGGAATCGGACAATTGGACAATTTTGGTACTGGATATTGTTTTTAAGGGAATCATGAGAGTGTGTGAGTGTGACTATATCTCCAGCTCCTGATGAAAAGCACCAAAAGAGAGGGAGAAACATTGTTTAACATCATGTGAATAATTCCGCACTGATGCGAAGCTTTTTTACCCAGCAACAAAACGTCAAGGATTGTTAAGCCAAATACAAAGTGAAGAGGCCACCAAAAGAGACAGGTTAGGGTTCCAGAACCTGCCTTTCTATTCTTTGAATTTTTATTTTAAAATATGCCCTGGGGCCCCGTTAAGTTACCGGAACTTTCGAGAAACGGGCATCTGAAGTCTCAAAACAGCTGTTGAAAATGATATTTTTGCAATGAAATATATACGGTTAGGATTTGGAGAACTAGGCAGGGCTCTTTTCGTAAGATTTCCAAGAACCTCTCTCCTCATCGTACCTGCAGTGGATACAAAATAATTGCTTTAGAAAACGTTCATCATCCTGTCAGATTAAATTAAACGGTTCAATCAATCTGTTCCTTCCCACGTATTAACCAATCACTGAGTGGGTCATACGTTCATGACTAAGCTGCGCTAATTTGAGTTGCGTAATCGTAGGTCATTTTATATCAAAGATGTCCAAAAAGGGACAGGCCAAAATCTAAACCATGCCTGCCAAGAAGACTGTTACGGTGTAATCTAACCAACAGAAAAACACTACAATCCCACAAACGCAACTACTTTATTAAACAGCGAGTAATGTTCTTAACAAGGTGCGACTTCTAAAAGCAGTACAATACTTATCGTTAATAAACTTAATTAGCCCACCACAGTCTATATCCTAGCTCACCACTGACACAATCTCACTGTTGTCTCCAAAATTCCTTGAAATGAGCAATCTTCCACAGTAACTCTCTCTCGGCATAGCTTTCAAAACAGTCGTCGCTCCGACAACAACAATTAATCCTACTACTATATATATATATTCACAAAGTGTTCTGGAACATTCCAGAAGCTTGCATAAGAACTATTTTAGAAGTATTACATAATAAATAAGTGACTTGGTGAAATGTTCTAGAAAGTTCTACGGTATGCAAGTCAGCATGACTCAGCAGTTTGAAGATTTCCACTGGTACTTATTAGTGCCAGACCCCTCGCACACATCTTACCAGCCTGTTTCACATGTTTCGAACTTTTCGCAGTCGAATAATTTGTTTCATGCCTCAGCGTTAATAATGAGGGCCTACTGGCAAGCTAAAAGGAAAAAAAATAATACTTTAAAACCGATAAAGGCAGAGTAATCTCTGTTACTAAGAATCTATGTAACTTTACTGGAAAAATGCGTGCACAGAGAGGAAATCTACCCTTTCGCGCCCTCGAAAAAAAACCAGTTTTTGCTATTTATACATAACCCACCAGAACGTGAAACGTTTAATTTTGCCTCAAGAGTACGCTTGTTACCCAATACTTATATTGGCAAAAAAATCAATCGACCATATATCATTCTAATTGCTCAGATTCTAAAAGGCTCTGTATGGACGCATATCGACAACAGTGTCTGGAAGTATCGACTAACTGTGCAAAAAAATTCGTCCAATCTATATGTTTCTTGTTTTGCTGAAGGATCCGTCGATGGTTTAATCCGGAAGTGCAAATTTAACAACTGCAGCAACGCAAACGTAAAGCGCGCGCGAATTGTCTTTGTCACGGAACAATTTTGTAGGCCTGTGGGCAGACAATCTGATAAGAATTGCTTTTCCCTACTTTTTGCCATTGTTCATCATCCGATTAAAAATGCGCAGGTTGCTTAAATCTCGTTGAAAATCATTCCGTGGCTTTAATACATCGAGAAAGAAGAGGTAACAAGGTCGGCGTAACAGAGGGCTAAAAGAGGTGACTGAAAGGCAGGTGACGAGAGGCATAGGGCACGGTTTCCCACCGAAAAAAAATTGTTTTTCATTGTTTCCCATTTTTTTTCGTTATATTGGAAGAAGGCGCGGCTATCACCCTCCCTAGCCCTGCCCTCAGCTCCGTCGTCGCGCCCCGGGCTTTTTCGTTGTTGTTGTTGTTGTTGTTGTTTTTCTTTCAGTGTTTATTTTTCCATTATTATTAAAAAATCTTTTAGACTAGTGTAGCCAAGCGCAAGACGGACCGTGGGAGCGGTTAAAAATCACGCCTGTTCTTAAGGCAAAGAGTAATCCTGTACCGTTTCAATGAAGTGAATGTCTATCAGTTCGTTGTGACTTTGACAGATATTTTAATCAGTCATATTGAGAGAGAATTGTTGTCAGATTTCTATAATTCTTTCTTCGTGAACGCCACATCAAATATCTCTTTTAGGGCCACGTTATATTGGTTTCCTTCCTTCTAAAATTTTTCTACTCCTAATTTCGATGAACTGATATTAACCCTCTTCTTTCTTATCTTAGGTGCAAATTTAGGCGGCATCTATGTATTTTTTTGTGTGTGTATTTGCACGCCCGTTGACTGAATCACCCTTGTTTTAGTGCGTCTATTTTGCCCCTTCTGGGACGGCATGTAATAGGATTTCCGCCTGATCCGCCAAGCTATATGAAAGGTCACTGTACACCATCTAAGCTCAGTTTGTTTTTTTGAGAGCTAAAAAAAGGATCCTCTAAAAAGAACCGTCTCTAATATTACCGCAGACAGCAAGATAACCTCGTGTTATATTTATAGTAGTTGTGGTTCCTTACTAGCGAGTGGTGGTCAATTGAGGTCGGCCCTCATCTTGCCTCTAAAGTAAAAGAAAAGTTACCGAAATAGTAATTTTCCAAAAAGGAAACGTTGTTTTTTAGGATTCCATTCGGGCATGAGAATTTTACATCCCAGATCCCAAGGTGTTTATAGGATTCAAGGTTTTATTTCGAACTAAAAAAGGAATTGTTAATCTAGTTACCGTTTTTCAATTTGAGGGATAATCTTCGTTGATAACCCCACGTCGATAATGTATACCTAGTCTTCACAAATACGGTTTTTCCCAGTCACAACACATGATATGATAACACATACAGCGAGCTAAAACGTCAAGATATTACGAGTAAATCACTCTTCGCCTCTGTAAAAAGCAATTAGATACAACTTTGTTTTTTTATCAGTACGGTTCTGCATTTTTTCCGCACGATAGCTCTGCAAACCCAAGCAGAATTTGGAATACAATTTTTTACTGGGCCACAGAACTGATCAGGCGTTCCTTCAACATTGCTTTCTTCCTTCTCTCGGCTTATTGCTCCAAAATGATTAATTCCTGCAAAATATACTGAGCAGGAAAAAATCAAAACAAGAATTAAGCTTATTTTGTATTTCAGTATCGTTGATTTCCGGTTTAAGTGAATAGTCGATTTTCTTCAATAAAAGAACAAATGAAACTCCGCCGTCTCAGTCGAATGTAAATATAGTAATAGACAGATGTTGACACTGACGTCTCAATCGAATAATCAATCTCGAAGACACTGAAAAAAAATTCTTAAGATCAAGTTTACTGCGATTAAGTTTCCGGTAGGCGAAACTGGTCGATCGGAGTGAATTTTACGCGCCGTTTTGAGCAAATAGCGGTGTTTATCAAACAGTTCAGTTATTAGCCAATCGAACCAATCATAAAAAGGGAGAGATAAAGGAAATGTCAGTCAGCCTTTGAACATTATTAGCGTTGAACAAGCGGATGACCAATAATCTGCGCAAGAAACCATCTAATGGCAGCACGTGATTAAACCTGTCAATCAAGCACCACACGAAGTAGCATACGGGGTTTTTAGTTTTCCACGCTTTGGAAAGTTTCGGTCAGTGAGAGTGTTATACGGAGATATGAATGTTTGCAATTTTGTAGTGTTTTTTCTGCTATCGTCGGCTGTACACTGCTTAGGTAAGTAAAGAGGGTTTCCAAAGGGATTGTCTTAAGTCCTGCATTGTCAGATTAAATCTGATCTGGAATGCTAACTTTCCGAAATGTCTCCAATACGTGAGCTTAGGCGGTAGAACAGAAATCTATGCCTTTTTTGTCCACAAGGACATATCTGCTAAATGGTATCCCGGTTTTTCGCAGATCATAGCACGCAATCTACTCATTCTTTGGTTGAAAGGGAATCAGAACACTCCGGTGGTTTTTTTCATTGTTTTTGGTCGGTTTGATCAATGAATTTTGTCTCGTTTCAACCTTGTTTTGGTGCTTACGACGAGAGATGTAGGAATCGTGACATGCATTGGAAATTACTGAGTACCTTGTTGTTTACATGTTTCACTATTGATAGCATCTTCTTGTCCAATACTTCTATTCCTCTCTCAAGCTTACTAATTTTTTTTTCAAATTAAGGAAGAATTTGAAAGAGTTTTTAATATTTTCGACTGTTTAGAAACATTTGTTGCCGTAAAGTACAGGCTTACTAAAGGTTAAATGTTGTGACGAGTTGTTTGACATCAATGTACACGGGAACTTCAATTAGTAGAAATCGCTTTCAAGAGAAGATTTTAATGGCCTGCAATCGTAGCCGATGACGTGTAATTTTCCTTTAAATTCTTTCTTAACCCCTGTCCATCGTAAAAATTTTTGTATCTTTTTTTTTTTTAGGATGCAATATTCCACCTAGTGACATAGTAAGTCGTTCGCATTCGAATTGAAGGTCATTGTTAATGAATTCACAAAACAAAAGTATTCCGTTGCGTTCCTTTTACATTGCCCTCGGCTTTTTATAGATATATCTTTTTTTTTTCGTTTTTATTTTCCTTTTCTGGATACCCCAAAAAAGCATAGACATGCTTCCTTGACTTTTCTTGCAAGCGTCTGTCTGCGAAGACCCTTTTCGAGATTTGTTTGTTTTCCTTCGATTCGCGTACTTTCATAAACAAATGTTCGTATGATTTTGGGCACGCTTATCGAGTTGCCATTTTTTAAACCACAAGTTATTCAATACATTAAACTAGATTTTTTTCAAAAATATGCTTTTGTGATACTAGTTCCTTCGACAATGATCGCTTTTCAGAAAACGTGACTCCAGTAATAGTTGGCTGGCAAAGCTCTAATCGACAATATTGACTTAAGAACAACAAAGTGAGGCTTGCCTTTCAATTGTACATGGTTTAACTAGGTGCATGTCGCTTTTTAAGCCCTCGTGAATTTGTTTTAATATCCCGAATCCGGAAAATCCTAGCCGACGTGCCCTCGTGTCAAATTTACCTCGAACTTGAGGACCGGTATGTTATACGTAACCGATGTTGAATAACGTGAGGCCGACTTCTTTCCCAAGTTTTTAATATCGATTGCTACTGTTTTGAAATGTAAAAATAGCTCTGTACCTTTCAGTTCGGATTCGTTAGTTTCCGAATATATTTATCGCTTGTCTGTACAGTCTTCAACATCAATAATCCCTTCTTAAAGCTCTAGTATTGCAGTTTACACCAAACGTGTGATGATTTTTTAAACGTTATGCTACGAGATTGACGAGGGCAGCTGCGATGACCCTTCTGTAGTGATCTGTGTATAGAGCTTTGATTTGACACAGTGTGAATCGGTAAAACATGTTGCAATATACGGCTGAAAGTGAAAGCGGAACGTGTAAAACTAGTAACAGAGGGTTTTTTTTTTGAGTAATTTGCCTATAAATTTGTCGGGTTTTTTTTTTGTTATTTTACTTCCACAATATAAGTATCATTCTTTTATTGATGATCAGTAATTAATACTTCTAAAATGCAGAATGAACCGTTTTTAATATTATCTCCCATATGCACATTTTCTTGTGTGAAAAATGGACTTCACTCAAGGCTGCTTTATTGCATCAATATGTTGCATTTTTGTTTCATGGGTCAGTGTTCTTTTGTAGGTGGTGCAAGTAAATAGCTCACAGGTTTTCAGCCTTGTGTTTATAAAAATTCCCAGATCTTTAAAAAAATCTGAAAGGTTTTAATAAAAGATGTCCTTAGATGGACATAATTAAAAACAAAGCCAGGTGCATCACAAAGAACAGTACAATAGTATTGAAAAGATATTGTGCAATATCTGTACAATTGCATGCCTGGATGTTTCTGCCAGTGAAGCATCACCCAGAAACTGTTACAGTAGACTTTTATAATTTTCGATTAACTTCATTTAGAAAAATTGTTTTTTGAACAATGTTGTTTTGCAATTCTTGTTATTTGAGGGGAGAGTGCCTCAGTACCAGTAAATGAATCAGCAAGCTTTATTAACTTAGCAGAGTTGTTTATTTAATTAGTGTTTGAGAAGTCCACGAGGGCTCATAAATTAATTGTTATTAACAATTCAAGATCTTGCGCAATTTGCCCAAAAGTTTCTCAGCAGCATGTGGCTTTTGTTCATTTCGTTGCATTAGACAGCTGCGCCTGTTTGAAATTCTATAAAACAGGTGAGCAACGCAACCCTGAAACCCCTGAGTATCTGTCACATAGTTCTCCATTCTTACGAGGTGCATTTCTTGGTTGCTGGGAGAATCTAGTGAGCTATCAAAATAGCAATCTTAAGCTGATAAGTGTGTCTTCACTTGTAGTAGAATAAAATATTCGAATCTAGAGGAGAAGTGACATGTTCCATGGGTGTGGTCTCACCTTTGTACTGAAATAGCAAATTCACATGTAGTCACAAAAATTATAATCGCAGTTAATCATACTCAGACTTGTTGTCTTATCCACAGGTTAAATATGAGTTATATTATGCATTAGTTATATGTTATCAGAATCCCTCAGCATTTTAACAGTGATCTTGCTCCTTACATGTTGCTTTATAGCAAAGTGTGTATCATATGTCGCTGAGGGACTATTATGAAATGTTTGCAAGATGTCCATTGTCTTCTGTAGCGTCACAACAAGTATTGAAAAAATAATATCTTTGGTTCTATTGAAAATAGTTCACTAATTCAAAGTTTCTATGATACACTGATCAAATTTACTGGATTCTTTTACAAGGCTGCAACACAGGCAGGTGAAATGAGTTTGAATATAGCATTACAGCAAACACTGAGAAAATGAAAATTTTGCGAGACATGATTCTTTCTTTAATTTATTTTAAAATGGAGTCAACAGTGGCACTGCATTATTTCTTGGCAAGGGAAGTTTAATTAAAATTTACTAACAAGCAAAAACTCTATGAAAAGTTGACCAGACTACAGTGGTGAACAAACAAACAAAGCCACTAGAAACTCAAGATGATCAACTGATATGCGATCCTGCTTAATCACCAGTTTTTACATTGCTCATTGGAACGAACAATGGCCACTTCATAATAGAGAAAACAATTGCTTAACTCATTCATATTAATTATTCAAACACATCTGAAAATAGAGATGTAAACTCATCTATCAAAACCAGTATGTGTATGGTCTTATATGTGTACTATGTGCATTTATGTGCATTTGACTTGTATATCTTGGTCCCCTTATCTCTGAACTACTCTGTGCATGTTCACTGGCTGAGAAAGGATGGTCCAGATGGCTTAAGGTCATGACTTAGATACTGAGTCCTCTGAGGCCTGTACAGCATGAGCAAAGGCCAAATAGTTTTGTGTCTGGTTTAACCCAACTCAGATTACAAGCATTTTATCACGTAACTGCTGCCCTTTCTCCATCACCTTTATTATCTCTTTCTTCTGTCAGGGCCCAAATGCTTTTTTCAGCCCTGCACAGTCCATATTGTATTAGACAAGCTGGCTTGAATCAGGCCAAAATGATATACAAGAGTCTTTAAGGAATGCATCTCTCTTAAACCTGCCCTATGCTTTGTTTTTACTTTGGTCATCCTTGCAATTTTTTATTGATATATACATGTAAAGCCTTCTTCAAATTACTGCCTCATTTTATAAAATGTGGTTGTCCATTCTCGACACACTTCATAGGAAATCAATTTTATGTCGAACAAAAAGCGTACATTCCTATTTTGCATTCTGTTGGGTAATGAAGTGCACTCAATAGGCTTAACATTATAGTTTTTTCTTAAAATTCTGTCAAATAGTTCTGATACAGTCATTTTGACGAGGATGTCTTGAAAATTTAAGTCCCATTGGTTACCCAACATACTGTTAAATAATTCACAATTTGGATCAAAACCTGTATTGGCCTTTCTTTACAGGAGATCCCAAAAGAGATGGAAAAAGCCCTCGACTGGTGTGTCATTTCTGTAGCAAGTCTAACAGCAGCCAAAGTGATTGTACATGGAGCAACACAACTTGTGATGAGACAAGCAAACACTGTTACACCATGTGGATAAATGACTCTTCAAGTAAAGGAGGGGTACAACAGGCAGGGTGCTGGCAGCAAAATGCAAACTGTGAAGATTCATTGTGTTTGGGTGAGAAGACACATAATGGGAAAGCTTTTTTCTTTTGCTGCTGTAATGAAAATCTTTGTAATGGGAATTTCAGTTTACGCCCTGAGACAACAAGATCAACAGTAACTTCTGAACCAAGTAAGTTGAGAATTGAAGATTTTACTATCCATATACTTAATGTAACTTAAAACCTCTCATGAACCAAATTTATATGAATTATTTGAACTCATATTTTCTGAAAAATTAAATCCTGGAACATGTGAGAGGTGATGCAAAAAAAATATTACACAAAAAGCTATTAATAAGCAAGGACTAGTAAAGAAAGTTCAATCTGGATTAAGAATGGATATATTTGTGTTGATCTATGATTAAACCTACGAACATCGAATGGTGGCATGATGCACATTTCTTGTTTGTTGTAACTCATTTTGTTGATCAAAGGGTTGCAATTTATCTACATGTACATATCTTCTCATGCCATTAAGAACCAAGTGTGCCATTAAGCCAGTGTGATTGAGACCTCATGCTTGAAATCAAGGTTAAAGGGATCAGTCAGTCTAAGATGGCGCCCAAACCCTGAAATAGAACAGCATCTGGAAGGAAGCGACACAAACAGTGTGCATTCTCCCAGTGTCAAATGCAATGAATAAATTATCAAGGTGTTGTAATCTCCATCATGCATGACCTTTGCGTCTGCCCTCTGGTGGCAAACAGGTTTGCCCAGGAAATCTTTGTGTCACTTAATATTATCATTATTTAAGTTTACCCTTGGGTTCAAGTGTAGTGGTTTTCTTATCATGAAATGTTAAATAAGTAACAAAGTCCTTTGATAAAAACTTCTTAATTCTTAAATTTCAATGACGCAAATATCTGAAGTTGGTTTCATGTAGTGATTTTTCCCTTCATTTGCATTGAAAACAAGCATGTGAATTGAGAAATATAAAAAGGAGAAGAGTTCATGGGTTAAAGCCCAAGAAGCCTGAGGCAGAAATGAAATAAAATTTGACAAGGAATGACAAGAACATCTCGCTGAAATGGTTATGAGCTCATACTTAACTCAGTCTTGGCTGCTAGCAACCAATCAGCAGTCATCAAGAAAATGTCTGCCGCAGCAGGTCCAAGATGCCTGCAACTTGAGAAATTGAAATTGCCAGCAAGTGGAATTGTACCTACTGGCTAAATTCCACTTGCTAGCGGGTAAGGCTTCTAGGTAGGTTTTGTTATACACGATAACTGCAAGTTCTCCCAAACTTTTTGTCTGTTGAGAGTCTCTTAGGACTGCCTTGGATGGTTCTGTGTCTGTGTTTCTTTCGACTTTTGGCATTTGTAGCAGCCAGGGTGTTGAGAGAAGTTGGCGCTTTGTCACTTAAAGACATGAAATGTATGGAAAACTTAAGATTGAATTAACTTCTTTTGTTTTTGCACTATTGTGATCTTTTAAACAAATTATTAGGATGTGAAAAGTTAACAGATTGCATTGCAATTTGGCTGGATTGCTATTTTAAAATGCCAACTGAAAAAACTGTGTTTGGGATTTCAATTTGGTGAAAAGAGTCTCCTGCAATGGCCAGTGGTAAATTTTGGGAGGCAAACTTGACGGGAAATTGCATAACAGGATTAACCCCTGTAAGTGGAATTATACAGAGGCCCTATCAGTGTGGTCGGATATGATAGCAGATTAGTTCACTCAAAGAGATATTGTCAATTTCTGACTTGTTCTGCCTTTGTGGATTTCAAAACAAGTTTTGCCAAAATAGCATATGCCATAACCTTTCAATTGATGTTTAGGCATTTGTGGTGACACTTAAAATGGCATGTGAACAATTTAAATCACAAAGGACATGGGAAAGGTCTACCACATCTTAAACTAGGTAAAACATGACTGAGAAATTATCACTTTCCGTGGAGAACTCAAAAGGATTCTGTGAGCTTTGTGCTAAGATATGTTGTAGTACTAAACTCACTGGTTGTTTGTTGAAATACAATCATGTAAGCGAAATGGCTGTCCATTGTACTCATAGCCTGTAATTTTTGAGTGGAATCCAGTACAAATTGGTGACTTCTGTTGTACTTTAAAGTCGATGAAATAAAGATTTTTGGCTATGGTGACCTAAACAGTCCCAGTTTAGAGCACTGTGCTAGAGTTATTTTCACTCGTGGATATAGGAAGCATAGGAATGAGAGTAATGTTGGGATTTAATATGCAAATTTTGTGATGTTAGCAGAGCAAGAAACTTTCTTTTCAAGTCACTTGTCCATTTGGACAAAAATGTGTTTATTTTACAACCAAAAGCTTACTAATCTGCAAAATGTCAACTAGTGGATCAGACGTGGTATTCGCTCATAAATTAATAGTTTAACTTTGCATAAAAAATTAGACACATGTAATGCACACAAATTGCTAATAACTATCTGTAAGCTGGACTTATTTTTATTTGTAGCAAATATATACCCTCCCAGTTAAGTGATCGCAGTAGCATGTCACTCCTTACCAACAAATCAACTTGAAAGCTCTGTATGTATATACGAAAACAAGATCTGATGTAGAAAAATATGTCTGCAATGGGTTACTTTTTCTGGGAAATCTTGATCCATCATCATTGACGCCAGGAGGTCCCACTGTCCCATTTGTTTGCCATTTCAGGAGGCAAGATAACCTCCTGGCACAGTGTGAGTCATTTGTGAACTTTTATGGGCTAAAATCCTGCATTCACTTTTGGGATGGATACAACCACTTTGAGGGAATTTATAGGGTGTATAGATTTACAGATTTTTGTCAAATTTCGCCAAAACATTCCAGGGATAATGACAAAGTGAAGCATGTTGGAAAGTTTTGATATTTGAAATATTTGTCCCTTGGTGTCCAATTATGCAACACACCTTGCATATTTTTCACTACTTCAACTTAAGATACTGATATCTAGACAATCAATCAAAATATCATAAAGCCTGACACTCTTTTGTTGATTGATGCCTTGGGAATAAGACTATGCAGCCATTTTGCTTGTGCTGTGGCATCTGATACCCAATTGATTCAACAGAAGAACCTTTGGTCATTTCATGCCTTACCAGCTTCTGACACTTCTTTAAAGGAAAAGTTGCTTAAATTATATTTTTATCGTAAACAGCAGTTTGCAAGCTTTCTTCTGATGTATAATTTGCTAGGATATTAGTGAAACCAGCACACATTCAAATTTTTTCCCAAATGACACCTGCGAAGGTGGGAAGTAACCTCAATAGAGGTTCTGTAGTATTTAAACTTTTGCTCTTTGTTCTCAACAGTAACTACAGGAGGAATAATACAATATACCAACAAACCTTCAGAACCTGACAGGCGTGGCCCCACATACACACTGTTGTATTTAGTGGCTCCAATTTTTGTAATAGCAGTTATCCTGGTAATTGGGTTTTTTATGTATCGCCGCCACAAAACACCATTTCCGACCCGTATCCTGGAAGAAGAACTTCTCAACTCAATCCCTCCACCATCCCCAGAGCTGGGCTTCAGACCCATTCAGCTTGTGGAAGTCATTTCACAAGGAAAGTTTGGCACAGTATGGAAAGCAGATTATCTCGAAGATGTAGTTGCTGTTAAAGTTTTCCCAATGGCCCACCAGACTGCTTGGGTCTGTGAAAAAGATATCTTTACAACTTGCAACTTGAAACATGAAAATATTCTTAAATTTGTTGCAGTAGAGAAGCACAACAATGGCTCATGCTCTGAGCTGTGGTTGATAACAGAGTATCACGAGCATGGATCTCTTGGCGACTATCTTAAGAGCCATGTAGTAACGTGGCCAGAGCTGTGTTCAATGGCAGGAAGTATGGCTAATGGCCTTGCATATCTGCATACAGAAGTATTAGAAAGTTCTTTCAAACCCTGCATAGCTCACAGAGATTTCAAAAGTAAAAATGTGCTGGTCACAAAGGATCTAACCTGCTGTTTGTCTGATTTTGGACTGGCAATGAAGTTTGACTCTGGCGGGGATCCAGGGGAGACACATGGCCAGGTGAGTCAGGCCTCAGTTAGCTGCATAGCTTGTAGGCAAACAGCATAGGCAGCTGGGCAAAGGGAGCAGTGGGGGCTACACTTGAGAGGACTTCGCGCACGCCCCCCACCCCCCCCCCCCAATTTTTGTTTCTGGATATTGCTAGTGTAGTATACAATTAGTGTGGCAAGGCATTTGGTTTTATTAGGGTTGTGCATCAGCAAAGTCCTATTTAGTATAATGTTTTTTATCATAACAGCTCTGGCCTGAGTTCTAGTAGGAAACATAAAAATGTTTTGGTAGACCCTCCTTTGCAAAATCATTCCACTAGGTATGATATGCGCATGATGGAAATTTTAAGGGAAATTTTTTGGTTGAAAAGAGAGCATTTTACTGATTTAATCAGTGACTTATGCCCAAAAGAGATGCTGAATTAGCAAAGTGAGCAAGCTGCAAAGTATGATACTTTGCCCTATTCAATGAAATAGAATGCTGAAATACCCTAAAACAAGTAATAACAGAATATCAAAGGGGTGGTATGATGGAATATCCTAAAATGCAGAATTCCTTGTTGTATGAAGCAAGAAACTAACAAAAATTGGAATTCCATAAAATATTAACATGAAAAGAAGCATTGCTTAATCACTATTAGAGCCTCAAGGATTGGGGAACCATGAGACTTTCTAGCTATTTCTTTAATTTGTTAAGATATTACTATTGCTATCATTATTATTATTATTGTTAATATGATTATGGAGATGCTGCAGGTTTTCTGTTTTGCACATGAATACACTACCTTCTAGCATCACTATACTGTATGCTACATACAGTATAATGCCACAGTGCTATAAAAATTGTGCAATATCAGTAGCCACACACAGTCTCTGACTGTCTATTTTTACAGGTTGGAACAAGACGTTACATGGCACCAGAAGTACTTGAAGGAGCCATCAGTTTCACAAGGGAGTCATTTTTGTACATTGATATGTATGCCTTTGCTCTGGTTCTTTGGGAGTTGATGTCCAGATGTACTGCTGCTGATGGTGAGCAAATCCATGAATACTGTACCAGTATATTTCTCAGATGGCAGCTCATCTGCCAGGATCATTACTTTAATTAACCCTTTACACCATAACATCAGTATTGATTTTCTTCAGACTCTTCTTCATGCATTTCCTTTGGTGTTGACAAGGAAAATTCGTGTAGCAATCAAAGCTTCTTGGGTTGGCGATCATTTCAGTTATTGTCATGATGATATTAAATGATGTGGCAGTATTGCTGTGAAGAGAAATTAGATGCTGGTCACTCGTCGGGGTCAAAGAGTCAATTTTTATAAGTGAGGGTCAAAAGATCATTTATTTCATTTGATTATGATCAGATTTCTTAATGGAAACAAAGAACCTGCTGAAATTTGCCTCACTACCAACATGTGGCTTCACAGCTCATTTGGTTGAAGCATCCAACTGGTATCTGGATAGCATGAGTTCCTAAAGCCGGAATATTTTTAGCCTTATAGCCTACAAATGAGGATCTTTTTTTTAATTGAGCATTATGCGCAGTTCACAATATGATTTATTTCAATGGGTTGGAATATTATAAATACTTTATTTCCACATGCCACAAAGAGTATTTTTCCTTGGTTCTAAAGTGGAGAATATTTTTTTGTCAGGTCCTGTTGATGAATACAAGTTGCCATTTGAAGAAGAAATAGGATCACATCCTTCCTTAGAGGACATGCAACAAGTTGTAGTACAGCAAAAGATCAGACCTAAATTCCGACCAGACTGGTTTGTCCACTCGGTACAAACATTTACCTTTTACTCTCTAACACCAGAGAATTTAAGAAAGATGTTTTTCATCTTGTCACCAGCATGGGACAAATAAAAATTCTGAGTCCCTATGAGGAATCAAACTTCAGACCTTCGGATGGTCTGTATCCGAAGGTCTGAGGTTTGATTCCTCATGGGGACTCAGAATTTTTTTTTGTCCCACGCTCGTGACAAGACGAAAAACATCTTTCTTAATTCCTTACAGAGCTCAAAAACTTACCATCTCTACTAACTCTATCAACACCAGAGAATTTGTTCGACAATCAAGAGCTTCTTTAGTTGGTGACTGTTTCCTTTATTTGCATGACCTTATTATTTGATTCAGGGGTGATACTGTGTGGAAAAATGAGATGCTAGTTACTCTTAGGAGTCAAAGGGTTTTGTAGCATCCCTTTGGTGGTTTCAATAACATGATATAAATAGGTACATGCAGTGAGAATAGCAGGCAGCTAGTTTTGAAGGCCTTGAGAATCTCCTGTTCCACAGGAGATGCAGATTCCCCATGGAAAGTTTGAAGTTCTGGACTCTTTCTGTGGCATTTTTTTGCATTTGGAGGTCCATTTACAATTAAACATGCAGTTTTTGATAATGGTGAACAGTTTAAACCAGAAATCTTGAAAGAAATCAGTTTGAATTTAGGATGCTATAATTTGCATGGTATAGTTTTGTCAAGATTTTAAATCAGAATTGCAGATAAACTGCAGATAAGAATTTTTTTTTTTTTTTTTTGACAATCAGTAGCTTCTTAAAATGTTCATCATTTTCTCCATCCTCTACCTTTATATTTGGTTCAGTGGTGATACTTTAATGAGAAATTAGAAGCTAGTCACTCTTAAGGGTTAAAGTGTTCAGGGAGTTGTGGTATTCATAAAAATGTCTCAGAATACTAAATGATTGATTGTTATTTTGTACCTAGAATATGGCGAGCCTTCTTCAGACTATTGAAGAATGTTGGGATCAAGATGCAGAGGCTAGGTTAACAGCTCAGTGTGTCGCAGAAAGGTTATCTCAATTCAACACAAATTCAAGCTTCGATTTGGCGCATTCTCCCACTGTTACAACAGTAGTTAACAACACCAACATTACTCCATCTTCAAAAGAGTCATCAATATAAACAAGAGTAAAAAAATAATACAATGTGAAGCATCCTTAGGGAGCAGCGAGTCAGTAAGGTGAGTATCAGGAATACATTCACCTGTAAAAGAGTCAGGAAACTCAGAGTTTTAAACACTGTGGATCAGAGTTTGTGTACAAGGCAGCAAATGGATACAATACAGTGAACAAACAAAAATCAAGCCAAAGATCTTTGCCGTTCAGCCAGCAAATGGGTACTGTGTGCTGTTCGTTGTTTGATCAATTTGTCCTCTTCAACATATTTTAAGACCATTACGACATATTTGGTAATCAGTGGTTAACACCCCTATTGATTTTTTAAGTAAGCATTTTGGTGGTACTGGTACATTTTAATTCAAACAAGAACACGGCATCAACACTAAAACTACCGGTAACTAGAACTTTAGGTAATTAAGAAAGCTGAACAAAGTTATCGGGCTTTATTTCTTTTTCATCTTCTCCTTACAAACAGGTTCTTATTTTAAAGACTGGTGTACCATACTTTTAAACTGTTATTTACTAGCCGTATGTAGATACATTTATTTTATTAACTGAAGGTGCAATATTTATCCATCATTGATTGTGACGATCTCACTGATCTTTATCCTAGTGATGTGAATTTGCTATGATATCAATATTAAGGGAAAGGGAAAACTTAAATTGGTCATTTTGTTACCAGGATAATTACCTGGTATGTTGAAGTTTGTTGATTATGCTATTTATACAGGGTTGTCAAAAGATTCCTAGCAATTGGTGCCTTTCAACACCTACTGAAAAGCATGCCGGCTGTCGTGAATGCTTGTGGCTCAAGTTTCAGCATAGAAGCATGACCTTGTGTGGCCTATTTTGAATCCCAAACTCATTACTCAAATTCTTTTTTGACAATCCTGTTACATGAGTGTTACATTAGTGGATGGAGTATTCTACAGATGTGTCCTCTCCGTTCAGTTGGACCATTTCCTATTTATCCAAAATCAGTAATAGCAGGTTGCGCTCGATACTAGAGCAGTAATTTTCAAAATGGATGCAGAGAAATTAATTTTGTTGGTGTCCGTGAAGAGGAAGCCACTGACTAGAGAGAAACTCTATTGTTCTGATAATCCCCCAAGTACCTCTAGTAACACAATTAGTCTCCTCAGGCTCGGTTATTATAGTCAATTAGTCGCCATGGTCTTGTCTAAGGGATTAATTTGACAATATTTGTCTCTTCTGGGGCAGAGAATTGGCCTATGGCCATCTTTGAATATTTGTGAATCGTCTCAAGTGTGTGATAAATTAAGTGAAAGCTAACATGTGATTAGGTACTTAATCTGCATGTTGTCTTAAAGAAGATTGAGAAAGGAAACTTTACCATTCCGTATCTTCATGTCCATGTAAAACCATTTTTTCTTGTTTTCAGTATCCTACAGAGAAAAGTACGTTGATAGATGATCTGAATTGGACAATTTTAAAATTCTGTTCTCCTGATCCTTTAGTCACTTGGACAGTTTCCCAGATACTTCAAAGCAATGATAAATTATTACTGAACTATTAATTATCAACTAAGCATTCATTTTGCGTAAAATAATCCAGCGTGTTAATCAATACATCTCAAAATAAAAGACTTTCGCAATATCTCCATGTTCAAACCCAAATGTGCTGGCATAATGATTAATTCCTTTGCTAAAAGATTGACCATTTTATCTTTTAAGGGGGTGGGGAAGGGGATGAAAGTATCATCAAAAAATTACTCTCCTGGAAAAGAAAATCAAAGAAAACATTTGTCTCACAAAACTGCTAAAAACAGCAACATTTATTATAATTTTACCCCTCCATAACTAAAATGGTTCATAGTCCTCAATGTCTAATATATTGTCCATTGTCAAAGAAAACAATTGTGACTGTATCTATATCAAGGTAATATTCTCTAGTTATTTGTTACACCAAGGCTGAAAAAATTTAAATGTGAACGGGAAAGAATATGGTCTTTCCTATTTCAGAGATATGTACCCAATAATAATCAAAGTTGTACAGAAAAGACAACAATCTCTTGTTACTGTAAATAGTTTTAAGTATTTTTACTACGCATTTATCATATTGTTGTTATATTCTACAATTCGATGTCTTACGATTCGCATTTATCGCGGTCTGTAAATAGAGTTCTTCTGATACAGCTCGGTAAGAGCTCCTGAATTAACGAAGCTTTTATCCAGGTCCCGCACTTGCCCAAGGCAAGAGAGGGCCCTGGGTACGGCAATGAATAAAACCATATCATCAGTTTGAAAATAAGAAAAGGTTGAACTATTAAACTTGGAAACGTCTATGTAGTTATACATGTGTGCTGTGATCTGTTATCCTTATTACGGAAACGAACCTTGCGAGTGCGTTACATGTATAAGGAGATGGAACAAACTCTTTCGGAGTGATTTGTTACAGGGAACGTTTCCTGGCGACGCGCGTGTTTTTTACGCGCCACTCACTCCACTCTGCCTATCTCGTTCGGTGCGCGCCTCATTATTGACCACCTTCGTGGTTGTATGCATGTGTGATCAAAGCCTTCAAAGATTCCATGTTATCTGTAATGAACTCTCGCATACTTTGATAGAGGCCCGCGAAATCCCCGTGCAGCGGCTGCGCCAACGAGCGCCTGCGCTTAAGCCCTGCTAAGAAAAGTTTATCGTTTCTTCTTCTATTATGGTTGGAATGCGTTCATATTAAAAGCTGTACCTTTCTTACTCCGCTATGATCGTAAACGTGACCGAAGAAAGTTTACAAAATGCAATTGGAGTTTACCCCTTCAGCCTTAACATCAGTATCCATATTCTCAATACTCTTCCCTATAAATTCCTGTTGGTGATAACAAGGAGAATATGTGTAACAATCAAAGCCTCGTAGGTTGTCTGTAATTCCCTTTCTTCTCAGATTAAGCAGAATTACTGTAAGGAGAAATAAGATGCTGGTCACTCTTAGGACTGAAAGAGTTAATAAGTCCTCTCTAAGCATCTTTCTCTTTGCCAGCGTGTACTGATTTGATTTACGAGAACCCGCATCACAGGTCGAATTCAAGCTGGCGTCGCCAGCCATAGGAGTAAGGGAGGCAGGGAATTAAGGTGACAAAGAGTGTGTTATTGTTACCTTTTTGTTTTTTAATTCTTATATTTTAAGCGTACTAAGGCTAAACAGCGATCAGTTTACAGTTACTCAAAAAGTATGATAAATCAATACAATACTGCACCGCCCGAATAAGAATTAAACCAAAAGAGAAGACAACTAAAACAAATCGGCATCTTATATTCCCATTTTACTTAGTTTATCGGGCGTTAGACTCAACAGCTCTTGCTGGGTGTCGACAAATATCTGTGACGCGCGTTATCTTTCGATCGTTTGTGCTAAACAGACCAGGCTACATGTAATTTACGGAAAAGCTGACGAAATGGACAATGGTTGCAATGCTAAAAGTTACAAAGACTAATTAGTTACTTCTACATTGATCTCGCACAAGCCAAGTGGTACATTACAGACAAGTTGAACTGAATAAATCTCCTTCACTTTCACATCATGGCAAGTGTTGGAGAGCATTTGGTAGACTGTTGTCTCGTGCTGTCTAGCGACGCAGTCGGCATCTCCAACTTGTGTTAACTGGCCGATTTTTCGTTTGCTTACAGCTTCTTGTGAGGAAGAAACTAGCTTTGGATAAGTCTTGCGGAAAACCTCTACGGCATCTCTCGCCTCTCCGACTGAAGCGGTTTCCTTTGAAATGATAATTTCGTCAATTTTCCTGTTGTTGTAAGTAGTTTTCAAAGTGAAACCTTGCGACAGCAGTGGGTTTTTGGAACGCATTGCGTAAAGCTTGTATTTGGAGACCTTTGACATACGCTTATCCCTGATTGTGACTGTAAAAGACTCTTGGAAGAACTGTTCCTCATCTCTGTAAGCTTATGAGAAGAAGAAAAGAACAGCAAATTGATAAATCGATCCAGTTTTTCTACAATTCTGTTCAGTTCTAGATGACTCAGAAGAAGTTTTAATGCGATAACGACAGAAAAAGTGGCAACCGAGCCGAAGGCGAGGAAGTTACTAATATCCGTTGTTATTTGTGCTACAATTACAACTGAAATTGACTCACTTGAATCCTTAAATTGTATCTCAATGGGCCAGTGATCACTCACTTTCTTCGCCTGCAGAAAACAGTAATGCAGTATCTTAATTAACAGCAACATTGCTTAACATTCTCGATCTATGAACCTCACTTTTGACCAAGACTCCGCGCAATGTGTTATCGAGTGCACCGAATAATTTCAAGGAATGACTTTGGATGATGTTTTACTAAATATATAGCAGTCTCCTCTCAACAGATGTCTACAGATGTCAGCAAACACCATGAAGACGACTTAAACACAAAATTGACTCAATGAACTTACTATGGAAAATCACCTAACCTTGTCGACAGATCGAAACTTCTTGAGTCAACCAATACAGCAGTTTTCAATTGCGTGTCGAAACAATAAAACCAAAGTAATCACGACTGACAATCAGGAAAAAGGTTAAAGTCATCATCAACCAAAGCGAACTCTAAGTAAAAACAGGTAACTTGCTTGAAGCGCGCGAAAACGCGGGTGACCAAGTTGAGATTGGTTTTAGCTCTGCGTTTGATTGGTCGAGATAATAGCGCGCGTTTTCTGGCGACAGACAACAGTCCTTCTCTACACGATCAAACAACAGGATGGAAACTTCAAGAGAAGCGGAACGCTGGAAAACCTTAACAAAATCCTTCATCTGAGGACAACCCGATGCAGACCTTTCTATGCTGGTTTGGTAAACATTTTTAACTTATGGAGTCATCTATAACTCCATCAAAACCTCTTATCGTTGCATAAGAATAATGTACCTCATCCTGACTCAATCCATAAGCATCTTTGTAATTAAACACATAGGCGCTGTCTGGAAAGATTCCTCTGGTCATGTTATACCCGGCAACTACCATCCTTTAAAATACAAACAATAAGGGTTAAAACCATGATATTACACGCTATAGTACCTGAAAGATGATAGTATTTCGTTTTCTTTGATAGGTTTTGCGTTCAGGCGAGTTTTCGGCGTGAAACCTTGCGCGAATGACACTTTCTTCCAGGGACAAAGAAAGAAATTTTGAGCTCCTATGAGGAATCCAACCTCAGACCTTTGGATTCCGTGATCTGACGCTCTACTTGTGAGCCATAGACTCTCTGTATAGGATACTTTGACTCTATCAACTGAATTTAATTTGGCCACGATAAAGAGGTTCTGAATCTGACGTTTCGAACGTTAGCCCGTTGTGAGAGTGCTCTGACGAAGGATAAACGCTCGAACGGTGAGCTTTAGAAACTCTATACGGTAGCCAATGCACATTATCAACTCAGTTAGTTGTGTCTTTACCAAATTTACCTGTCATACGGGCAATCGGACTTCGCAACTGTAGTGTCCATCAGATCAGAAAAGAGCCAATAGAATCGCTTGTCCGTTGCTAGCCTTATTTTAAGCCACTCTGACCTGGTTACATAGCTGCAGCCGGCGTTATAGTCGCCCAAAATCATGACGTCTTTCAATTGCCATCGTTGTACAATGTCGTCGTAAACGTCGACCAAATGGTCGATTTCTAACTCTGCAGCTTTTGGGGAAGTGTGTATGGCAGCCATAGCAAAGTCTGACACATCTAAATATATATAAAGGTAATTCTTTGTCAAAATGATCTCAGCTGCGACACCGTCTGATTTTTCCCCCATTTTACATAACAAACATGCATAACATTGTGTTCTGAAAACGAACCTCCAAAAAATATCGATAGCAAAGTCTGACACATCTAAATAAAGAAAAAGGTAACTCTTTGTCAAAATCATCTCGGCTTCGATATTCCTCTCTTTTTCCTAAAGAATATGCACAACATTGCATTCTAAAACGAACGTCCTAGAAAATCGACTGCACACACTTGGAGAAAGGTACGCTGAACAGAATCAAACCCATTTATTCTACTTGCAAACCTTATTACTGGCGCGCACCGTTCCTTCATCACTCGTGGATAAGTAAGAGTCCTTGCGTTACACACGATTCACTCGCGTACACAGCGCGATTGTTGACAAAACTACGCTTGCGTTATCTACACACGTTCTCATAGCTATTTGGCAGAACATTGATACAATCAAATTTTCCTCATTTCAAATGGAATTAATAGGCAAAAAAAATGTAACTTACATGCTCCCTTGGCTTGGAAACGGACAACAAAAGGTTCTCTTTCAAATGTGTCTTGGTTGTCATGATACAAATAGCTGTCCGTAACAGTTACCTTGTCACTCCTAGTGGTTAAAAAGACAGCTTGATATTAGTCTTTCATCATATACTTCCATTTTCATATATCGAACCGTTCTTCAATCAAACAACCTGAGTAAGGGGCATGCAAATCACAAAAAAGTCGCACAGGCGATCTCGGTCTGGAGGACCTGGTTCTGTTTATTACTGAGGGGGGCTACTCTTCTTTACTGACAATTGTCGTGCATTAATAACGCGCTAATAACTTATATTTTGATTTAAGATCGGTGATATCGTTTTTGCTGTTGCCCAGTCATGACCACGCCCCTTCCCTCCCCCCTCTTGCTCAGTAAACTTGAAAGGTATCAAAAGAAACATTTTCATGGGGTCTAAACCAAAAAGCATTCTGTCCAATTTAAGCACCATCTTTCACAACACCTATTAACTCAAAGGAGAATCAAAGTGTTCTTTACAAATCGGCTTTGAGCTAGTGTTAACATAGAAGACGGATTAGTATAGTTTACATAACATAGCTCACCTGTATAAGAATGCATACTGCTCCTTGCTGGCTGTGCGACCAAGCCTGACACTCAACGCCATCTTATAGACGCCGGGGGGAGATGAATCCCTGACATAGAGCAAAAGAGAAACAATGACTCTTAACTAGCTCTTCGCGTTTTTTTAACAAAATACGTAACTGATCTGGAATGAATTAAGGATAGTACATATGAAAACTGAGATAAAAGTTACTTTACAAATGCATCTTAAAAACGCTCAAATTTTGCATTTTGCCTGAGTATGTGTGGGACGCAGTCGGTATCCTGGGGGTCACCCTGCGATGAGCTAGCATCCTATCCAGGAATAGGAATACTCTTAGGTAGAAGGTAGAGAAAGGAGGGGGGGATAGGAGGGGGGGTAGGAAGAAGGAAGGAAAAAGTGAAGAAAAACTCTGGTGACTCTGGTGCAGCTTGAGCATATAACTGGAATAAGTTATCTTACGAGAAGGCAGGTGAAAAGATGAAGGTTCCCTTTAGATTGTCGATAAATATTACTTGACGAGTAAAATAAAGTTAATGAGTTAATTCATTACTTGTTGACATCCGCCAACAGCTCGTTTATTGGTCCCTCGTTCTTTGAACGAATTTCTTGAATCAGTATGATATCATACCTCAAAACCACCTGCAAAAAACATCAAACGTCAACGAAAGATTCATATATATAAATATATTTACGCTCATCAAAAGCGAACGAGGTGATGGAGAAGAAATTCTCCTGGCGTTGGCTGGATGTGGGAGGTTCCACTTCAGTGAACTTTTGTTCTCGAGGCGAGCGGAAGTCTATTTACACAGACGTCTGTGGAAGTACTAAATGTAATAGCTGTCCTAAATGTATTAACATTTGGTCCTAAATGTGATAAGCCTGTTGCACCAAGGAATCCTCTGACCAATGTGACATGAATACTGGTCAGAGGAATTTTTGGTGCAACAGCTGTCACTTTAACATCTCAATATGGATGTCCGGTATAACAACAATGCACTGGCGGGGTTAAACAATTGCATTGGAGGATTATTACATTTAACACTAAATGTTACTACATTTAGAACCAAATGTTATTACACTTAGGACAGTTATTACATCAGATCAATATCAGTATCTGGGCAACTGCCCACCTACCCCTCCCCTAACTCAACAACAATCAATTGATAACAAGTTAGGGTTAATGTTGGGTTAGGGGAGGGGTAGGTGGGCAGTTGCTCAGATACTGATATTGATCCTCTAGGCCTACAACAGACGTCCGCATTGTGAACATCGGATCGAGGCACCCTTTAGGTGAACGTCTCAGGAAACAAACATCGGCTCAAGATACTAAGTACAGTCGAGCTCTTTTTCACTAATAGTGAAAAATACCTTGACTAATATGTCTCTGACCAAATGATTTGCCATTTTTCTGTACCCAAATATTTGGACGTTAAATGTTGCAATCTTCAGAGCTGCTCCTTCAATCGTGTCAACTGGAGATGTTTCACTAGAGCATAGACATAACAAAAAGGAGAAATGAGCATTTTTATTAATCCATTAATTTCGTGCATATAATCAAAAATTACGTCTGGCCCTTTGAGGAGTAAAAAATCAGAATATTTTGGCCAAACAGAGCTCAGGTTCTTTTCATGATCTTGGGTTAAACCATTTGAAACACGGGGAGTGAGTGTTCAGTAAAGTATTTTATTATGATGCAAAAAATTGCGCTGTAAACAAATCAAGAATGACTTTCTTTATTTTTGAGTGCAGGCAAAGAAAGCTGGTTTTTGTAGCACAGTTCACTCAGGAACTCGTTTTATGTTTCCTTTATTTTGAGTGTGTTCTGTTACTTTTGCGACTCCCTTGCTGTCATCCGAAAATTGCGAACTCTGTAAGTAGACTGCAAGCGCGCGGAATCGAAGCGGGCAATCACGAGTAGGCAAGATTGGGCCCATCTTGCCCGTTTGGTGAGCCAGTCAGAACACAGGATTCGCTTCATCTTGCCCACGGGCGCAGTCAGCCACATAAATTAAAGTTGCACATGCAGAAAGCTTAATTGCAAAACAATATACATACTCATTGCACACTCACCATAACTCTGCATAAAATCCGATGGCCATAAGGCAAGATATTAACCAAAGTAGTTTGCCCATTCTTGCAGATTTAGTAGCAACACTCCTTTCTAACGATCTGGCAATATACAAATACAGGTTTATACTTCAGGTGAAGTGAAATATATCAACAAGCTGAGAAGGGCGTAACTGTAATTTGAACTGACCAGAAACACGTAGGATATGAAGCCTTTTTGTCCGTCTCCCTTCAACCGGAAATTAAAGCTACGGCGAACGTCCTCTTCTGTCGAAGTTTCAATGGCTCCCTTAAAGCGAGGGAAGCAAAATATATTTCTAAATATCTGAGTTTAAGAGCACGCGATTTCAACCTTGCAGCAAAGGTTTAGCGGGCGGCTTGATCGTCTGGGTGAGAATGTAATTCTTCTTATTTTTACTTACGTCCGAACGATCAGGCTTGAGAATTAATATCTGGATTATTCTGCAAACTACCTCCTACAAAAATTACAGCAAAACGCTTGTTACATCTTACAGTCCAACTGTATGCAAAGAGTGGAGGAGCCTTGAACACGCTTGGAATCAACTCAACGCCCTCAACCGCGACTGGTATTCAAATACACGGACATTAGTATAACGAATTGATTATTCATGGCGCGCGTATTACAAGAGCCGTTGTTCAAAACAAGCGCAAAACCATCTACACACCGAAAGGAAGACAGGATTTCAATAATTTTCGACTATGGACATTCATATGCTCCACACAAGAACAGTTTTACTCATTGCAACTGCGCGCAAACAGAGTAACGATGTAAACTGTGTGGAAGAATTCGTTCATGAGTACTTATCCCGACTCGACCAACACCAATACCGCAACCGACAAAGAGATAATTCAGTTATATACTGCAACACATTTTCCGCACTTTTGTGGCAATTTCGAGAATGATTTTTCGAAAGAGACCATGAAAGTTCGTGACTTAAGGGTTTTTCCACAGTAAATTCAATTGATTTTAATTCCTACCTTTCGCAGTCGGAATCAGAAGGATTTCGGTCCTTTAAATAGAGGAAGAAGACTTCTAGTTTCTCGTTTCAATGTTTACCTCTGGTATCTGTGGCACTGATGTGATATAACCGCCTGATCACGTACAGATTTATGATAATAAACTTTTTGAAAAGGGAGTGACCTTTGTTAAATTGCTGCTCATAAAGGAATCTATCATTTTGAGTCTGCTTGGTATCCTAACCACTTGAATATGTGATTAAAACATGTCTGGGCGAGACAGTCATTTTCAAAGTGAATTAACAGCTAGGTTTAACTGAGATTTCTCCAAGGAATGTTACAGTGAGATAAAAACTGTGAAAAGAGGTTTGAAGTTTTAGAAGAAAACATGTTTTCCTTCGGTTAGATGACCGAATGATATATGTAAATGATAAAAACATGCAAAAAGTTTCGAGTAAACTTGATCAGGATTCAGTCTGCAGCAAAAACAAAGCGTTGTGTGTGCATTGTTTAAAATACGACTATGTTCAAACTTAAAAATAGAACTACGATGATACGTTAATACCACTAGTCTGCTGCAAAAAAGTGAGAGCAATATCTGATAACAAGGAAACTGAGAATAATACTCACATGCAGTGTGGCTTGTGGCAACGACTTGTGATGTACCCTGTTTCTGTGAAAATGGCCTAACTGCCAGAAAGTATTCGTAATACGCTTAAGCAAATTAAAGCCTTGGGCTATTTTCGATTGACTGTATGTAAGTGGACACAGCTTCAATCAACCCATAAATGGGCTGGAAATAATTTTGTGGATTAAAAGCAGCATACGGTTTAATTTCATATACATATCAGAGGTCATTCACACACCTCAGCTTGTAATTGCTCTGAATAACTAGAATCGTGGCTGAATAACCTTTTTTTGGTTCTGAAATGTGTTGGCAACTTCTACCTTAAGGTGCTCAATCTCTTGAAAAGTAAGAAATCACATTTTACGATAGCAAACCACTCGATTTAATGACTAAAATTAATTATTTCCTTGGTAAACAGCAAAAGTTAATAGAGCGTTAAAACATGCTAGAGACATGTTGTCAATCAAGTTTTAACCTCCATGTCATGAAAACTGCATATTTTTTTGGAAGTCAGAGGGAATCTTAATGAACAAATTTCATGGAGACATAAAACAGCGAGACACGTCAGAAATGTTTTGTAGGATCTATGAGCCCACTTGTTGGACGCCGCACTTAAGAGTCACGCGATGTGGCAGAGAAACCTCACTTTCAACCTAGTTCCCAGGATCCTCCTTCTTTCTCCCTCGAAAAAGTACTCTACTTTCTCGAGGGGGGAAGAGAGGACCTTGGGAACGAGATTACATCACTCTAATAAATGGTGAGAAAGTATGTGCCCTTGTTACAGTCAAGGGAAGTGTGCTGAACGTTCAGCTTAAAATACCGCCACTTTCAAGACAACTCAGTAACCCGGCTGCATACGCTTGCCATCCCAAAATTCAACTCTGATGGCGAGAACCAAAACTTACGAAAGACAAACATGTCATTAGAATGTCGGTACATGTCGTTAGAATGGCAGGCAGCTAGTTTTCAAGTCCTCGGCAGTCTCATGTTCCACGGGAGATGCGGATTGCCCATGGAAAATTTGAAGTTCTAGAGTCTTTCTGTGGCATTTGCGACAAGACGAAAAACATCTTTCTTTAAGGAGAATTTGTTTAACAATCAAAGCCCCTCTCATGATCTCTATGGATGATTAAGTAGTATTACTGTGAGGAGAAATTAGATGCTGGTCACTCTTAGACTAAAAGGGTTAATAAGTCCTCTCTAAGCATCTCTCTCTTTGCCTGCCTGTTCTGATTTGATTGACGAGAACCCGCATCACAGGTTACATTCAAGCTGGCGTCGCCAGCCATAGAGGTAAGGGAGGCAGGGAATTAAGGTGACAAAGAGTGTGTTATCGTTACCTTTTATTTTTTAATTCTAATATTTTAAGCGTACAAAGGCTAAACAGCGATCAGTTTACAGTTACTCAAAAAATATGATAAATCAATACAATACTGCACCGCCCGAATAAGAATCAAACCAAAAGAGAAGACAACTAAAACAAATCGGCATCTTACATTCCCATTTTTTCTTAGTTTATCGGGCGTTAGACTTAACAGCTCTTGCTGGGTGTCGACAAATATTTATGACGCGCGCTTATCTTTCGACCATTTGTGCTCAACAGACCGTCAAACTGGCAGGCTACTTGAAATTTACGAAAAAGCTTAATTAGCTGCTTCTACATTGATCTCGCACAAGCCAAGCGGCACATTACAGACAAGTTGAACTGAATAAATCTCCTTCACTTTCACATCATGGCAAGTGTTGGAGAGCATTTGGTAGACTGTTGTCTCGTGCTGTCTAGCGACGCAGTCGGCATCTCCAACTTGTGTTAACTGGCCGATTTTTCGTTTGCTTACAGCTTCTTGTGAGGAGGAAACTAGCTTCGGATAAGTCTCGCGGAAAGTCTTTACGGCATCTCTCGCCTCTCCGACTGAAACAGTTTCCTTTGAAATGATGATGTTTTCCATACCACGTTTGTTGTAAGTAGTTTTCGCAGTGAAACCTTGCGACAGCAGTGGGTTTTCGGAACTCATCAGGAAAAGCTGGTCTTCGGAGACCTTTGATATACGCTTATCCCTGATGGTGACTGTAACAGACTCTTGGAAGAACTGTTCCTCATCTCTGTAAGCTTATGAGAAGAAGAAAAGAACAGAAAATTGACAAATCGATCCACAATTCGTTTCAGTTATAGATGACACAGACAAAGTTTAAATGCGATAACGGCAGAAAGGTGGCAACCAAGCCGAAGGCGAGGAAGTGACCAATATCCGTTGTTATTTGTTCTACAATTACAACTGAAAATTGACTCACTTGAATCCTTAAATTGTATCTCAATGGGCCAGTGATCACTCACTTTCTCCGCCTGTAGAAAACAGTAATGCAGTATGTTAATTAACAGTGACATTGCTGAACATCATCAATTCATGAACCACACTGTGCGCAATGTTTAATCGAGAGCAACGACTTTGGATGTCGGTTTTTAATTATGTAGCAATCTCCTCTCAACAGATGTCTACAGATATCAGCAAACACCATGAAGACGACTTAAACACGACATTGACTCAACGAACTTACTATGGAAAATCGCCTAACCTTATCGACAGATCGAAACTTCTTGTAACCAATACAGCAGTTTTCAATTGCGTTTCGAAACAACAACTAACTATCAGGAGAAAGGTTAAAGTCATCATTAACCAATGAGAACTCGGAGTAAAAACAGGAAACTTGCTTGAAGCGCGGGAAAACGAGGGTGACCAAGTTGATATTGGTTTTAATTTTGCGTTTGATTGGTCGAGATGGTGGTGCGAGTTTTCTGGACCAATCACAGAGCGAGGTGAAGCAAACCCAAACCAATCCCAGATTAGTTTCGATATTCGATTAAAAAATTGCCAATCAGCTACAAAAACCAGTCTTATGACGCAGTTAAACTCTGGTAGCGAAAATTTCATTGCTATACTCTTGTAATATTTTTCGTTCAGGTTGACGTCAAGGTGTCAGTCACTTTAACAGACAACAGTTCTTTTCAAGACTACTCTCGCCCGAACGATCAGACTACGCGATCAAACAGAGAAGCATTTTGCTCTTCAAGAAGAAGAACAAAATCCTTCATTTAAGGAGAACTCGATGCAGACCTTTCTACGCTGGTTTGGTAAACATTTTTAACTTATGGAGTCATCTATAACTCCATCAAAACCTCTTATCGTTGTATAAGGATAATGTACCTCATCCTGACTCAATCCATAAGCATCTTTGTAATTAAACACATAGGCACTGTCTGGAAAGATTCCTCTGATCATATTATACCCGGCAACTACCATTCTATAAAAAAACAAATAGCTGTAGGGTCATAACGATGATATTAAATGCTCTTGTACCTCAGAGATGATTATATTTCGTTTTCTTTGATAGGTTTTGCGTTCAGGCGAGTTTTTGACATGAAACTTTGCGCGAATGACACTTTCTTCCAGGGACAAAGAATGAAATTTTGAGCTCCTCGAAGGAATTCAATCCGGATTCCGTGATCCGACGCTCTACCACTGAGCCACAGACTCTCTGTATAGGATACTTTGACTTTATCAATTGAGTTATAAATTCAAAAAAATCTGACGTCTTGAGCGTTAGCCCGTTGTGAGAGTGCTCTGACCAAGGATAAACGCTCGAACAGTGAGCTTTAGAAACTCTATACGGTGGTCAATGCACATTATCAACTCAGTTGATATATGTTGTTAACCACTCCCCCCCCCCAACCACCGAGGCAACACCACATTTTCTTTACAAACATACCACCATTACACTTTGCTTTAATTTTGCAGATCGGCGTTCAGTTTTTTAAGATCTTGATCACCTATTTTTCATTGACTTTATCATTGCCATTATCGTTTATATTATTATTATATTATCTTTAATATTATTAGTAATGTCTTTACCAAATTTACCTGTCATACGGGCAATCGGACTTCGCAACTGTAGTGTCCATCAGATCAGAAAAGAGCCAATAGAATCGCTTGTCCGTTGCTAGCCTTATTTTACGCCACTCTGACCTGGTTACATAGCTACAGCCGGCGTTATAGTCGCCTAAAATCATAACGTCTCTCAATTGCCATCGTTGCACAATGTCGTCATAAACGTCGACCAAATGGTCGATTTCCAACTCTGCAGCCTTTGGTGAAGTATGTATGGCAGCCATAGCAAAGTCTGACACATCTTAATAAAGAAAAAGGCAATTCTTCATCAAAATGATCTCAGCTGTGACACCGTCTGACTTTCCCCCCTTTTACATAACGAACATGCATAACATTGTGTTCTGAAAACGGACCTCCCAAAAATATCGACTGCGCACACTCGGACGAAAGTACGCTGGAGAGTCCGCTGGAAAGAATCAAACCTGTTTTATTCTTCTCACATATAACACTAGTCGCGCGCACCGTTCCTTTATCACTCGCCAATAAGCAAGAGTCTTTGCGTGACAAACGATTCACAAAAATAATGTAACTCACATGCTCCTTTGGCTTGGAAACGGACAACAAAAGGTTCTCTTTGAAATGTGTCTTGGTTGTCGTGATACAAATAGCTGTCCGTAACGGTTACCTTGTCACTCCTGGCAGTCAAAAAGACAACTTGATATTGGTCTTTTATCATATACTTCCATTTTCAAATATCAAACCGTTTCTGAATCAAACAACCTGAGTAAGGGGCAGTCAAATCATAAAAAAGTCGCTCAGGCGATCTCGGTCTGAAGGGCTTGGTTCTAGTTTAATACTGAGGGGGCTACTCTTCTACACTGAAAATTTTCATATATTAATAACGCGCTAATAACATATATTTTGATTTAAGATTGGTGATATCGTTTTTGCTGTTGCCTAGTCACGACCACGCCCCTTCCCCTTCCCCTCCCCCCTCTTGCTCAATAAACTTGAAAGGTATCAAAAGAAACATTTTCATGGGGTCTAAACCAAAAGCATTCTGTCTGATTTAAGCACCATCTTTCACAACACCTACTAACTCAAAGGAGAATCAAAGTGTTCCTTACAAATCGGCTTTGAGCTAGTGTTACCATAGAAGACGGATTAGTATAGTTTTTATAACATAGCTCACCTGTATAAGAATGCATACTGCTCCTTGCTGGCTGTGCGACCAAGCCTGACACTCAACGCCATCTTATAGACGCCGGGGGGAGATGAAACCCTGACATAGAGCAAAAGAGAAACAAAGACTCTTAACTAGCTCTTCGCATTTGCTTTATAAAATACGTAACTGATCTGGAATGAATTAAGGATAGTACATATGAAAACTGAGATAAAAGTTACTTTACAAATGCATCTTAAAAAACGCTCAAAGTTTGCCTTTTGCCTGAGCATGTGTGGGACAGGAATGGGAGTACTCTTAGGTAGAAAGTAGGGAAGAGTGGGGGGAGGGGAGGGGGGGAGAAAGAAGGAAAAAGTGAAGAAAAAGTCTGGTGACTCTGGTGCAGCTTGAGCACATAACTGGAATAAGTTACCTAAGGAGAAGGCAGGTGAGAAGATGAGGGGTCCCTCTAGATTGTCGATAAATATTACTTGACGACTAAAATGAAGTTATTAAGTTAATTCATTACCTGTTGACATCCGCGAACAGCAAGTTTATCGGTCGATCTCTTTTTGAACGAATTTCTTGGATCAATATGATATCATACCTTAAAATCACCTGCAAAAAACATCAAACGTCAACGAAAGATTCATATATATTTACGCTCATCAAAAGCGAACGAGGCGATAGAGAAGAAACTCTCCTAGCATTGGCTGGATGTGGAAGTTTTACTTCAGTGATCTTTTGTTCGGAAGTCAATTTACACAGACGTCCGCACTGTGAATATCGGACCGAGGCACCTTTGAGGTGAACGTCTTAACAAACAGACATCGGCTCAAGATGTCCCCTCTCTCAGGCTGTCAGCTGTCAAACTCCCGAATTTCTTTCCTCTCAATCACTGTAATTTTAATTTTCACCTCTACTTAGCGGTCGCGGTGACCTTTTACTAAGTCTCAACGGCATTTAGTCATGGTCCTCAACTTATATTGAACGGTCATAGAAAGCGGCCCACTCTGATGAAACTCAGAATAATATTTCAAGGATTTTTTGTTCATCTTTCTCTGCCAAAATCAAAGTGTGTAGTATTTGCGAGCGAGATTTTGTACATGAAGCGGCTAGTTATGGTATTAAATGGAGTTTTTTTTAGTCTTTTATAATGCCCCTTGAACGGTAGGACCTGTATTAAGCAGTAGGTATGTGGTTGACCGTGAGTAATCGTATTTGGCCCATATGAGAGACATAAAAAAGAGTCTTCTCGGAATTTAGACTTGGATCGCAAAAGAGACAATAAAATTTTTGCATGTATATAGGAAGCCAGTGTAAGAGTTGGGCCCATTTTTTCCTACCAAAACGAGACAGCAATTGAAGTTTTGAGCAAGGACCTTCTTCACTATGAATAGTTCTATTTTATCATTCTTTTTATAAATATGACGGTTTTTAAATAATCACCTCCCCTGAAAAAAAAACAAACAAACAAACAAAAAGAAACACACACACACACACGTTAGCCGCTACGCCCCGCAGCCCTTGATCGAGAAAATATGGCGTTTTAAGGCATGAGCTATAAGCCTCCATCTGTGACTTCCAGTTCCATTATTGAACCCTTTTTAATGCACTAACATCGAAAAATACCTTGACTAATATTTCTCTGACCAAAGTATTTGCCATTTTCTTTGACCCAAATATTTGGACGTTAAATGTTGCAATCTTCAGAGCTGCTCCTTCAATCCTGTCAACTGAAGATGTTTCACTAGAGCATAGACATGAAAAAAAAGAGAAATGAGCATTTTTATCATTCCATCAACTTTGTGCACATAATCAATACCTACATCTGGCCCTTTGAGGGGTAAAAAAAAAAGAAGATTTTAGCCAAACTAGTTAGAGCTCAGGTACTTTTCATGATCTTGGGATGAACCATTTAAGACAAGGGAAGTGAGTGTTCAGTGAATGATTTATTATAAAGCCAGAAGATTTTGCTGTAAACGAATTAAAAATGACTTGTTTATTTTTAAGGACTGGAAAAGAAAGTTGGATTTTGTAGCACAGTAAACTCAGGAAACTCATTTTATATCTCCTTTATTTTGAGTGTGTTCTGTCACTTTACGACTCCCTTGCCTTCATTGTCCAAAAATTACGAACTTTGTAAGTAGACTCCACGCGCGCGGAATCAAAGCGAGCAATCCCGAACAAGCAAGATGGCTCCGCCTGCCCGCTTGGTGAGCTAGTCAGAACACAGGATTCACTTCATCCTGCCCACGGGCGCTGCCAGCTACATAAATTAAAGTTGTAGATGCTGAAAGCTCAGTTGCAAAACAATATTCATACTCATTGCACACTCACCATAATTCTGCATAAAATCCGACGGCCATGAGGCAAGATATTAGCCAAAAGAGTTTGCTCATTCTTGCAGGCTTTGTTGCGACACTTCTTTCTAACGATCTGGCAAGGTGCAAATACAGGTTTATACTTCAAGTGAAGAGGAATATATCAACCGTGAACAAATTAATAAGGACGTAACTGTACCGTGAACTGACCACAGACACGTAGGATATGTTGTTTTTCTACCTCCTTTCAACCGGAAATTACTAAGTTACGCCAAACGCCCTCTTCTATCGAAGTTTCGATGGCGTCCTTGAAGAGGGCGTTTTGTTGAGTTAAAAATAGCAAAACTTGAGGGACAGTGTTTGTTCATGCTACCTGAACTGGAGACAACACACGTCCAAATACACACAATTATTTGCCTCCAAATAATTGTGTTACTGGGTTTCCCTCATAACAACACAAATCGCTTCAGTTGTTGTATAAATGATCTCCTAACCTGTTACAAGCTGATGTCTATGAGGGAAGCAAAAATGTATTTCTAAATATTTGAATTCAACAGCACGCGATTTGAACCTTACAGTTGAGCGGGCAGCTTGATCGTCTGGGCGAGAATGTCATTTTTCTCATTTCTGCTCACTTCCGAACGATCAGGCTTGAGAATTAATATCTGAATTATTCTGCAAAACACTTCCTACAAAAAGTACAGTAAAACGCTTGTTACATCTTACCTTCCAGCTGTATGTAGAGAGTGGAGGAGCCCAGAACACACCAGAAGTTAACTCAACGCCTCTCAACCGCTAATGGTAATTAAGTATACGGACATTAGTATAACGAATTGATTATTCATGGTGCGCGTATTACAAGACCCCTTCTCCAAAATAGGCGCAAAACCATCTACAAATCGGAAGGAAAACAGGGTTTCAATAATTTTCGACTTTGGACATTCATATGCTCCACGCAAGAACAGTTTTACTAATTGCAACTGCGCACAAACAGCGTAACGACTGTGTGGAATTTACTCATGAGCACTTATCCCGAATCGACCAACACCGACACCTCATCCGACAAAAATATAATTCTAATATATATTACTATACATTATTTCGAAGTTTTGTGGCAATTTCGAAAATGGTTTTTCGAAAGTGACCTGGAAAGTACGTGACTTTAGTTTCTTCTACGGTTAAAGGAGAGTAGCAAGCGCTTCAATTTATTTTAATTCCTACTGTTCACAGCCGAATCAGAAGTATTTCAGTCCTTTAAATAAAAGAAAAAAGACTTCTAATATCTCATTTCATTTTTTTTACCTATGATATCTGTTGTACTGATATGATATAACTGTCTGATCACGTACAGATTTGTAACAACAAACTTTTTGAAAAGGGAGTGGCGTTTGTTAAATTGCTGCTAGTACAGGAATCTTTCATTTTGAGTCACTGCGTGGTGTTCTAACGATTTGAATATGTGATTAAAATATGTCTAGGGGTGACAGTCATTTTCAAAGTGAATTAACAGCCAGGTTTAACTAGGATTTTACTAAGGAATGTTACAATGAGATACAAACTGTGAAGAAAGGTTTAAAGTTTTAGAAGAAAACAGGTTTTTGTTCGGTTAGATGATCGAATGATATATGTAAATGATAAAACAAGCGCAAGAGAATAATACTCACATGCAGTGAGCCTCGTGGCAACTACTTGTGATGTACGCTGCTTCTGTGAAAATGGCCTAACTGTCAGAAACTATTCGTAATATGCTTATCAAGAACCCTGCTAAAAGCCTCGGGCAATATTGAACTATTTTCGATTGAGTGCATGTGAGTAGACACAGCTTCAATAAACCGATAAAGAGAAACCGGAAAGAATTTTGAGGGTTGAAAGCAACGGTTCACTTTCGTACGCATATTAGAGGTCACTCACATGTCCAAGCATCTAATTGCTCAGAACAAAAAGAATCGTGGCTGAATACCTTTTTTTTTGGTCTGAAATGTATTGGCGACTTTTACCTTAAGGTGCAGAATATCGTATTTTACGATAACGAACGACTCGATTTAATGACAAAAACAAGCAAACAGGAAAAGTTAAGTAGAGCGTTGAAGACACTTTGAAACATTTTGTCAATCAAGTTTTAACGTTTATGTCATTAAAATTGCAAATTTTTTTGAAACCAAATGAAAGCTCGATGAATAAATTTCATGGAGACTTAAACATCGAGACACTTAAGAAATGTTTTTTAAGATCTATGACACCCACTTATTGGATACCATAATTAAGAGTCACTTTCAACCTAGTTTCCAGTGTCCTTCCTCTTCCTCCCTTGAAAAAGTACTCTACTTTCTCGCGGACGGAAGAGAGGACTTTGGAAACGAGATTGCCTCACTTTGATAAATGGTGGGAAACTCTGAGCCCTTGTTATAGGAAAGGAGAGCGCGCTCAAAATTCAGCTTAGAACACCGCCATTTTAAAGATAATTCAGTAACCCGGCCGCACACGCTTGCCATCCCAGAATTCAACTCCGATGGCGGGAACCAAAACTTACGGTGTACAAACAGCTGAGGCTTGGTTCGTCGGCCGTTCTTTTAATTAGCCTTGAATCAAGTTCAAATTGAATTAATTTGAGCAGACAAGTTTTAAGTTGAAGTCTGTTGAGATGAGGTAAGGGGCCAGGTTGCTAGGTTACATTCAAAACGGCCGCATCCAGGCGACGTCGTTAGAGAGCTGTTTGGTTGCAGTAATTATTTGTCCGGGTATAAATGTCCTAAATTAAGGTTTTATATTAGAGTTACCCCACTGAAGGTTTTAAAAAATGCTCTTCTCTCTCTCCTTTTTTCCTTAGCGCATATTGTTCCAAAAACTACGATCCCTCTGGTCAGTGTCACCTTACGATGTAAGGTCAGTACGTGATGTAATTGTCGCATTATAGTTTAAAATATTTCAGAAGAGGTTTGGATTGTACTTTGGACTACATACCGGCACATTTTAGTATTCCAACGGTCGGTTGAAACCGATTTTTTCTAAAACTAAATTGATTGATGACAAAAAATAGAAGCAAGATATAAAATGAGATTTTGTGCAAGCTCGAAAAGTCCGTTTCTACCAAACCCTCTCGACATTATTGACTTTTAGTGCGTGTTCAGTTTGGCGGGAAAATCGTTTGAACAGAGCAATGTGTCTATCATCGATATGACTTGATTCGAGTTGATGCAAGCGAAGAAAAGTTCATGATCAGATCAACCGTCCGTTGTAAAACGTTTTTTTTTCCTTTTCTAACGTTTTTGATACTATCAAAGATGTGTGAAATAATAAAGCTGGTATGAAATAATTGTTGACAATTTAGCATTTTGCTCTTACTTATGACAAAAGAGCATCTTCATAAAGCTTAAACATGATCAGAGAACTAAACTGCACTTAACACTACGCTTGCATTTTGTAACACGCACGTGAAGCACGCACATTACAAAGTCGCCTTAATTACATCACATTCACTTAAGGACAGCACGATTCTCTTCTAAAAGCTTATCGTGCATTCGGTACATAATAAGTTTTAGAATACTTTTATCAATCAGCTACTAAAATTCTTTTATATTAGTAACAACTTACAGAAAGCTGAAGAGTTTACAGAGTGACTTCGAGTTCGCGTGGGTCCCAGATTTTTACTACATAAGTCCGAAAAATGGCTGTTACGAAGGCAAAAGCTGTTTAACCAACGGTTATGGTGGTGCACTCATGACAATGAGCTCGTTAAGCGATAAAAGACCGTGCATGTTATATTGATTGATCGTAAGATGTGAGAATCTAGAATACCTATTTAAAATGCGTTTAGGTAATTGGTTAAAATCGTGTCGCACAACAACAAAAGTTTTATTAACAAAGTTTCACTGTTTGATCACGTTTCTCTAAAAGTGCGAGAATATTGATACATAAAAGTTTGAGAGAGGCCTAAATCTGTTATAAAAAGTTTCGAAAATCATATCTTGACCTCGGAACCGTTCAATTTTCAATATAACTGTACAAATCAAATGATTTCGGGAAAGTCTAACACAATTATATGAGATGCAAATACGTCTTGCTGTTTTATGCTAATTTAAATCTATTGTATCTCCGATCATCCGCATCGCCCAATAATTGAAAATAAAATCATGTCGAAAATCACTAACGACCCAAACGACTGGCTTAAGTCATCGCCTAGATTTCTCCTTCGCGGCCGTTTTTTGGAATGTCACTCAATGCTCTCTCTCTTGCGGTAGGTGAGGGAGCTTGCATGACATCCTTAGCGGCTGCGAAGTTTACTAGAGTCTTCCCATAATCTCAAAATTGGGACCATTGGTTAATGATCCATGTGATCATGTGGAAAACAAGTTTTAGCCATCTCTCCCTGCGTTTGGCGTGTAATGTTTTGGTCCGATTTCCAATGCACCTTCTCTGAGCCAGCAGAGAACTCCATGTTTGAATGTACTAGGTTCTTGTCTACTCGTACAGTATCGCATCAAGAAACCCGAAGAACTAAGAATCTTAATCCTAGAGGGTAACTCAATTTAATCTTTCTCCTACGCTTGTTTCGTAACCATAAGGGCGAATACTAACGAAGAAAAATCAAACGTAATTAGCTTATATCCAATTTAGATTTCTCCCTCCGATTTCGAGCACTTAAGTTTGTTTCAGACATCTCCTCCAATTTCAGATTGATCTGTGCCATTTGGACGGCTCTGCGCAATTTTAGTCCGTTTCTTCCAGTTCCGGTTGGTTCCGCTCGACTTCAGACGGGTTCTGTCCGTTTTCGAACGGTTGCCTCCAATTGCGGTTCCGCCCTATTTCGGACTGAAAGCGGCGTCAGCTCATGGAAAGTTCCGTCCGACTTCCGACTGTTGTACTTGGATTCGGACATTTCTGCTGGATTTCGAATACTTCCGTACGATTTCATATTCTTCCATTCAATTTAGCAATATTCTGTCCAATTTAGCACACTTCCGTCTTATCTTAGACGCTTCTGTGTAACATCGAACGGATCCTTTCGACTTCGGGACTGTTGCACACACTACTGTCTAAGCACAGAAACTCTGTAGAGAATGAGAAATGATTTGAAAACGTAAATCGGGACTTAAAAAAATATTATTACCATCGACAGATTGTCTACTGCAATAGACCTAGACTTGACATCTAAAATTGACATCTAAGAGTTTAATTCCGTGAAAAGGAAGAAGAGAAAATAAAACTTTTACCAATTGCACGTAGAGCTCAACTGATCGCCCCATACGCTCATGAACAGGTATTTTAAAAGCTTCCATGATATATTGTCCTCAGATTCTTTTCTTTACTCGTCAGTGGCTTCTTCTTAAATTTTTTGGAAGCCTTCATTTGTTTATGAATCAACAAAGTCCATTTGCTGTACATCTGTTCAGTAATAGATCACAGATGACGTCAAACGGCGACAAGAATAAAATTGTAACACACCAGGCACAGCCAGGTATGTCACTGAAGTTCTTATGATCTGCCGCTCGAATCTACTTGTTTTAGGTAATAAAGAAGCTAAAAATGGTCATGGTGACGTCATTTATACCTCTTTCCTTCGATAGCTCACTAGCAAGAACCAATTAAAATGTGTGTATAATTTACCTTATTACAAAAATAAATTTAATTTTGAGCCAGAAAACACTCCACATGCTGATCGACCTATTGGAAAGAGGATATTATTGTTGTATAACGCAAGCGCCCATATGTTTCCATGCTGTCGTGTGTTTGTTCAGCAACAGATCACAGACGGCGTCAAAGTGTGGTTGGAACTAAAAAAAATGTCCCGACGCACAGCTGAGTGTGACGATAATGTTCTTACCGAGGGTAAAGTTGTTTAGAAAATAATCAGAAGGTAAACGAAAACCTGTTCGATTTCGAACGAGTTGGAGTGAGCGAGGGTTCGAGTTTTCGCAGCTAGGTCGAACTACGTATGAAGGAAGTCCAGCGGAAATCGATTTTAGTTTGATTTAACTGGGGTGTGATTTATCGGTTGTCGATTGTTCGCAGCCAGGTCGAACTACGTATGAAGGAAGTCCAGCGGAAATCGATATTAGTATGAGTTAACTGAGGTGTGATTTATCGGGCGTCGATTGTGTTCAGTTCATTGCAATAGGGGTTTGTTATACATTGGTCAATTAAAACCATGCCCTCCTATCCCCGGACAAGGCGAGGAGTTAACGCAGTCATGCCCGGGTTTTAATACAGAGGCAGCATAATCCCACTGGCACAGGAAGCGCCCGACTAATCCCCAGCCGCCTTCAAAGCGCGGGCACACCGACGTGGGCAAGACGACTTGAAACAAGTCAGCAAGGGCATGGGGAAATAATTCACACATGACCGCAATGGTGGGGCATTTTAGCAGGGATTCAGTAATGATCCATATTGGAGATAGCTCCAGTGGTCTACAGCCCGTCTTTAGAAAATAAAAGGCCAGATTGGGCCGTCTTCCTTTATGTCTTCAGCACACTTTGTTGTTGTTGTCGGAATTTTGCTTCTATTCTCTGTATCAAATTGCTTCCTTTTTCAATTAAGGGTCTCCGTCTTGAAACCTTTCCTCTTTTGTAAAGCTACTACTACTGTTGGTTCAATTTTCATCAGTAATCACAGGAAGAAATAACTCGGTGATGGGATTTTAACTGACGATGTGTCCCTATACCAAGGAAGAATTTCTGTCCTAAACACTGCGTAAATGTTTTAAAAATTCTCCGCCTCGTTCCAGGGGACCAACAGCAGGGGCGGAGTTTCAATTGACTTCTCTCAGTATTGACGTTGGTGGTTATAAAATTTCTCAAATCACAGGAAGTCGATCGAGAGGAGTCTATCATGCTTTAGAAAACTT